ATATCTGTTTGCTAATCCTGTATGTACAGAAGTTGAAACATGTCCACTAACATACTCTTTTTTCATTTACTTCTTTTTCTTCAGCTAAGCAGTACATAATAAAAATGACTGAAAATTTCCAGGACTTAAGGGATGCTTTTGATAAAGCTACTTCTGTGAATACGTCTAGTTTGATACCTCGGCCTGCCGGTGCCAAAGAATCATTTCAATTTAAACCAGAAGATATGACAGTAGAAAATGGTACCATAATCTATATTGCAGTACGTGCCATAGATAATGCCTCCCTGACCTCAGAACTATCTAATGTAGCACAAGCTGCCTTGTTTTTGCCTCCAAGGGAATCCTTGCCTAATACTCTTAATAACAATAACCCTAATAACAGTGTTAATATTACAACAGTGGTTCTAATAGCAACTGGGTCTGTAGTAGTTCTGTGCATTATAAGTGGAACCATGTGTATTTTGCGTAAGAATAGAAGGAGAGGCACTGCCATGATAGCATAATACAACTGTAAAATTAAAGCTGAGAAGAAATATATCCTTAGAAGTTCTACTTATAATTTTCAATATACATAAAAGACGCATATATTTGTATTATACAGTATTGATGAATTAGTTGCAATGATTTTAAAACACATATCCATTTATGTGCCTTTCTTGTCTATTTAGTTGTAGCCTTGCAATATGTCTCATATTCAAAGACACGTACATAGATTAAATACTAAATATCAAATCATGTTCACTCAGTAATTCATATCAAGCAACTAAAAAGAGTTTAGGCTCTTCAACTCTTACATTGTTAGATTTCTGCAACATTATGTCTTCTTTTCTTTATTAAATAAAGTGAGCATAATGTTTTTCTAAGGGCATGTACAAGTGTTACATTTCTAGCGTGAGAAACGCTGCTTTCCTTCAAGAAACTGGGAGCACACAGGCATTCATACAGTTTCCTCCACAGAAAACATCCTGTTTCAACCAGGAAGATCTCTCCTGTGCAAAACCTTTTCATGCAGTAACAAATGCCTGTTTGCTTCTTCACTGGGGACTGGAAAGAGTTGAGCAACATATGTACAATAATATAGACATTAATGGTTTTACAAATACAGCAGATGCCCTGTTTTTATTTTAATATACTTTGCGTGGTGCATTGTGGTGCTCTTCTTTACCGCTTGTGGTAACGGTAAATGCAAGAGAAGGAGACTAATAAAATATCTAGGTAATAATTAGAAAGTGTGGTGTATGTTTTACTTGTTTACAATTCCTCCCAAGGCTGAATGCTTGTAGGCTCAAGACTAATACAGAAAGACTATACAAAATTATAATATTATAAAAGCGTTAGTCTGTCTGTCTGTTCCTTATGCTTTATTCGTACTCTGATTGGCTGACAAAAAAACAATCAGAGTGCTCCAAGAGCGTTCAGAGAGGAGACAGTGTGAACACAGGGGACAGAGTTGCGAGGGGGGGAGCACCCTGACCCCCCCCACCCCCTGCAGTCAGTGGTGACAGACCAGGGAGGAGCAGGGGAGTAAGCCCGATACCCTACTTCCCCACCAGACAAGAAGCAGAGGCAGGGCTGGATGCAGGGGGATGCAGAGCTGCCAGGCCCTGACAAAAGCTAGCAGAGAGGGGGAGGGAGGGGAAGTGGTGCACCGTGATGGCGCCCTGCCGCCAGGCCCTGCCAACAGCTGGGAGGGAGGGGAGCAGGAAGGGGAGGCAGGTGGATGTGGGCAGGTGGGCCTGGAGCATGGGGGGAGCCGCATTGGACCCAAAATGGGAGGAGGGCTGGGAATGGGCCTGGACCAGAAGTGGCGGGGGAGGTGGGAATGGGCCCGGACCCGAAGCGGGGGAAGAACAGGGACAGGGGAGCAGGGTCGGACTTGAAGCTCGCATGGCAGGGGGGTGGAGGGCAGAGGCTGAACACGGGTCTCTGGCTCCCAGCCCCCGTCATTCTTGACAGGCAATTGGCTAGTCAGAACATAGGGATTGAGGAATTTGTGTACTTTAAAAAAAAAAATTCAATCATCTCCAGCCCAGTGAAATAATCTCCAGTAAAACATTCCAGGAATTAAAGGGTTTCTTATGTGATGATCTGGCCATTTGGACATATCCTATCTGTTGCATTAATAATTTCTTCAAGTTAACAATGATCCCTGAAATTTTTCTTGATAGCAAAAATGGCATGGGAGCCTAGCAGTGTTTGACTTTGTGATCAAGGTGTCACTACTATAGGAGGATTTTGTTTGTTTGCAAGTTCTCCTTCACTTGTATAGTTTCATAGTTCGTAAGGTCGGAAGGGACCTGAGCAGATCATCAAGTCCGACCCCCTGCCATGGGCAGGAAAGAGTACTGGGGTCAAATGACCATGGCTAGGTATTTATCTAGCCTCCTTTTGAAGACCTCCAGGGTAGAAGCAAGCACCACTTCCCTTGGGAGTTGGTTCCAGATCCTAGCCGCCCTGCCTGTGAAGTAGTGCCTCCTGATATCTAGCCTGAATCTACTCTCCATCAACTTATGGCCATTATTCCTTGTTACTCCCAGTAGTGCTCGGGGGAACAGGGACTCTCCCATTGCCTACTGGTCTCCCTTGGCTAGTTTACAGACAGCCACCAGATCCCCTCTCAGCCTTCTCTTGTGGAGACTGAACAGGTTCAGGGCCCATAGCCTCTCCTTGTAGGGCCTCCCCTGCTTCCCCCTGATCATGTGAGTAGCCCTCCTCTGGACCCTCTCCATGGTGTCCACATCATTCCTGAAGTGTGGTGCCCAGAACTGGACACAGTACTCCAGCTGCGGCCTGACCAATGTTGCATAGAGGGGGAGGATCACCTCCTTGGACCTGCTTGAGATGCATCTGTGGATGCACAACAAGGTGCGG